CACCCTCGACACTCCCCCTTCGCGCAGGATACAAGTACGGAAGACAGCTGTTTGTCCAACTTTCAGCTGGCGCACACGGTGCAAGTGGCCATGACATTGATCCAGTTGTACACCCAGCAGGCCGACGGCTTCGACCGGAAGGATGCACTGGCCATCGCAGCAGAGGTTTGGACGGAGAACCGTTCAAACAGTACAGCAGTGGGAGCGGGACTTCATCGCCCACGGACGCATAAAAAAACCTGACACAGGTCGCTTCAAGCNGGAGCAGGAAACGGACGGCATCAACGCTTTCCATGGATTGAGAGTAAAGCTGGTGGAAGTGAAGGAGAACGAGCCGCCAAAGCGCCAAATCTCCCTTTCTACGGCAACGGAGTGGCTGAACAAGGTGGGATGCGAATACCACGACGGCAAAAAGGGGCTGCACTTCGATGGCCACGACGACAAGAAGACCCTTGAATACCGGCACGACGATGGAGTGACAGGCACAAGCGCATGATGAGCATAACAACACAAGAATGCCTTGTATTCCCTGACGACAACAGCCCAAGAGTAGGAGGTGGGGCGGGGGTGTACTCATAGTCGTGCATGCCGTAGTCGTTAGACCATTGACCTCGCATCCCTACAAAGCCGGGACGGAGCACGCCGGGTTCTCACCGGACCAGGCTCTCACATCACCAAGCGCGAAGCGCCGTGAGATATTCGGCGAGTCGCATGAAGGGTGCGCTGCATCCTGCTAAGGGTGTTCGGCATCTTGTGCTTACTTCCTTGCGTACGGATGACAGCTGCGTATGAATTAATTTATTTTCTGGTGCTTTCACTTCCAGAGACAGTTGTAAGCACTGTGTAACTGCCTCGAGGGTGCTTGACCATTTTAACACAACGTGGTGCGATCATCCCCCTTGCGCGGAGTGAGGGTTCACCCCGCACAACATGATCTACTCAACCATCATTATGGTTACCGCCCAAAAAAAATAAACGGAGGAAAAAAAAAAAAACGGTAACCTGGTTGCCGAGTTCACGAAGTGAATTGGCTTGTTTTACAACGTCGTTGCCAAGCGACGAAAACCCAATCCCGATGGCAAACACCGGGGGGGGCGGCTTGTTTTACAACGTCGTTGCCAAGCGACGAAAACCCAAGGAGGTAGGGGGATCTAAAAACAAAGAGAAAACCACCCCCGGAGCGAATCTATTGGGGAATTCCGAAACTTGCAGAAATACGGCATTTGCACCAAACAATACTTCGGAACACGACAAACACGTGACGAAAAAACAGGGCGNCTTTCCATGGATTGAGAGTAAAGCTGGTGGAAGTGAAGGAGAACGAGCCGCCAAAGCGCCAAATCTCCCTTTCTACGGCAACGGAGTGGCTGAAGAAGATGGGATGCGAATACCACGACGGCAAAAAGGGGCAGTACTTCGATGGCCACGACGACAAGAAGACCCTTGAATACCCACACGACGAGTTCCTCCCGGCGCTGTTCGACACCCGCGACTACATGGAGGTATGGATTCCGATGGGCAAGGATGAAGCGATCGTCTGGGGTGTTGACGTCGAGACGGTGGAGGAGACCGAGCGCTTGCCGGATGGTGGTGTCTGGGTTTGTGTCGATGATCTCGAGTCTGCGCTGGCAGACTTGCCCGAAGACCTGCAAGCCAGAGTGCAGAGAAAGAAAACCTACCCTGACGGGAGGTGGACCATGCTTCTCTACCAGGACGAGAGCATATTTCGAGGTTAGTTTTAAACGGAGCAAAGCGGGTTCGATAATTTAGGTGTAAATTCCGGGCGCGAACAGTAATCTTGCTCGCAATTCAATTGTGGGACTTTAAATTTAATCACACATGTTGACAGCGCCACATCTGCCGCCCCTAAATTGTCGGTTTCTTGTTTTTATTTGCAGCCAACGACGACCAGAGGCGCGCGTGGTATCGGGACGGCCAGCATGTGCCCGTGAAGAAGTCACAAGGCCAGGGGATCATGGTGTCGGGGACGATAATCCACAACGTTGGCTTCTTCTCGGCGTCGCGGGCACAGATCCAGGACGCGGAGCGCAACCGCAGGAAACGATGCGCCGCCTCAGCTGCCGCGAAGCGACGGGGGGAAAACGTGAAGGTGGAGAAGTTCCGCCCCATCGACATGCTTCATGAAGACGAGCATGGACAGTACTGGTCCTACCACCTCTTCGAGTACGGCAAGAACAAGGAGGGATACTGGACCGGGCTCAGGATGCTGGACCACATGTCAGACGTGCTCGACATGTTCACAGTTCTCTACCCTGAGCACAAGCCTGTAGGCCTGTTCGACTGGTCGTCCTGTCATGACTGCATGGAGGTCGGCGCACCGTCGGTGAAGAGAATGAACTTGGGTGTCGGTGGTGTGAGGAACGGAGAAGAGCTTGCGCCGATGGACCCCGTGACCATTCTCGAAGATACCCCGAACCTCCCAGCCGGCACGGTACAGCACTTGGCGTTTCGGAGGGGGGACGATCCCCCCTTCCACTCCCCGCATCTCAAGCCGGCGCAATACGTCGGAAAGTTGAAAGGAATGCGGCAGATTTTGTGGGAGAAGGGGCTCCTGGTCAAAGGCATGAGTAAGATGGGGGGCTCGGGCGAAAAGCAGGACCTCAGCAAAAGCATGGAGCACGTTTTGGGAGAGCAGAAGGACTTCAAGGAAGTTGATTCTAGTCTGGTGCTGTTGATGCAGCGCCAC